CAGTGTCTGTCCAATGCACCGTCCCCACTGAGCCCATTGAGGCAGGCTGAGGGCCCCCCCCAGCTCCCAGCAGTGGCCGGCTCCCAAGGCCCGCAGAGTTCTCACACTATCCAGATGTGCTGGGCAGAGGTGGGGTCTGCCCCATTTGACCAGAATATCACAATCACAAGTACACATTTTGAAAAGAGGCCCTCAGAGCAATTAGTCTCCAAATAGAAATGGATTCTTCTGGGCTGCAGTGAGTAATGATGGGTTGGGAGGTGGCGTGCTTCTGCTGATTGCCCACAGCTGCCAGGCAGTCTCTCTGGGGTGAGCAGTGGTGGGCGGGACAGAGCTGGCTCAAGGATGTCACTGCCCACGCCTCACCGGGCAGTGCTGGCTCGTGAATCCAGAGCCCGGGGCTCTGCCACCGCTGCCCACAGTGGGGGGCACTGGGGAGGGCATGGGAGTGGGGGTCAGCTCAGCCTGTGGGAAGCCCTCTGCTGGCTCTGCTCTCCTCTCCAGCCCCTGCAGCTCAAGGGACTTAAGTACAAGTGGTTTAGGGGGCTGGATGATGCCCCAAGGTGACCACAAACAGCCCCAGGGGTGGGGTGGGATGCTAGTGGCTAGGTACATCCAGGAAAAGGAGGCTGTAGGATGGAGTACTAGCTGTTAAGTACATTCCAGGAAAAGGGAGGCTGTAGAAAATGTGTCTTCGCCTGCTGAAGAAGTGCTAATGTGTGTGAAAGTGAGGTGTGAGTTCACACCTGCCCTGCTGTGCCAGGCAGACACTGTGTGCGGCTTGGCAGCCAGCCCCAGCCGGGCCTCCTCCCTGCTGCTGGGAGGGAGGTGGAAGTCCAGGTGTGAGGGCGTTGGCGCTGCTTCTGGTGTGGGTGGCATCTTCTCCGGAGCACCTGGGGGGCCCAGTGAGTGTGGAGCTGCTGGCTTGTCCCCTCAGACAAGCCCTCTGGTAGATGTCCTGTCTCACTCTGGCCCATTCCTGAGGCCTCGGAATGTCCCGGGGGCCGGGGGGTCCCCACTGGCCTGTGCAGCCCCCATGGGCCTCGGCGGTACGGCCTCCCTGCCTCCCTCCCCGCAGCGCAGTGTGCCTCTCAGGGCCTGCGGCTCACTGTGCGCGGCCTCTGGCTATTGGTTGCCGCCTCTTCCTGTGAGGCGTTTGGTCTTCTCCGGTGGATTGAGGGATTGGGGCTTGGCAGGGACAGGCTCCAGGCTGTAGAGGGCAGGTGTGAGGGGGGCTCGGGACAGCCTGGCTTCACACCTCCCCATAATGCCCTGTGTGGGGCATTTCCTACATTCAACCCAGCCCTGCAGACATCCCTGCACCGAGGCCCTGGTGGAAGTCTGTCTAGCTGCCTCCTGCTGAGGGTGTTGCTGATGACATCGCTGCTCCTGGCAGTGTCCTGCTCCCTGCCCAGGACTTCGCTCTCGCTGGGACGCATCCACTGTGTACCTGAGCACCCCAGAGGCACAGGCCTCCCAGACGTGGGATCACATTTGCTCTGGGCGCCTGACTGTGCTGAGAGTGAACAGCGTCAGGCTGGCTCACTGAGAAGGGGCTCTCCAGAGCCCTGGAGGGCGGGGGACCCGAGCAGCAGCGTGGTGATGGGGTTCACAGAGGTAAGACTGTGTTGGCTGGCGGGAACTTGGACTTCTGTTTGCACCCCTGGGCCCATGAGTGCTGGGCCTCTACCTCCTCTGACTGTGGATGAGCCTCAGGGCCGCCTCTCCGCTCAGGGAGCTCAGCTGGGTGCTCTGGTTGGACCAGGTAGGTGCAGCTTCTGCGGAGCGCCTAGGTTCAGAAGCCCCTGGAGCCCAGTGGTTAGATGGTGGGACCTCTGGATGGCTGGGGGAAGGAAATGCTTCCTCATCACAGGGAGCCTTACCGCCTGTCCCAGGCAGCCTCCCAGCCAGAGGTGCTTTACTGATCTGGCGGCTGCCAGTGTCAGGTGGAACAGGACATGATTCCAGAGGGTCTCAGGCAGGTGAGAAAGCTGTTGGAGTCAGTCACCCCACAGGGATTTGATAGGTAGATTTACTGTAAGTACAGGAGGACGGAGTGTGATGGTAAGCTTTATTGTAAATACTAAGATGTGGGTGATGATGGGGATCTTTACTGTAAATTCAGGGAGATGGGGTTATGATGGGGAGCGCTACTGTAAGCACAGGGAGATGGGGTTATGATGGGGAGCTTTACTGTAAATATTGGGGAGATGGGGTTATGATGGGGATCTTTACTGTATATACAGAGAGATGGGGTTATGATGGGGAGCTCTACTGTAAATACTGGGGGGATGGGATTATGATGGGGAGCGCTACTGTAAATTCAGGGAGATGGGGTTATGGTGGGGAGTTACTGTAAACACAGGGAGATGGGGTTATGATGGGGAGCTCTACTGTAAACACAGGGAGATGGGGTTATGATGGGGAGCTCTACTGTAAGCACAGGGAGATGGGGTTATGATGGGGAGTTACTGTAAGCACAGGGAGATGGGGTTATGATGGGGAGCTCTACTGTAAATACTGGGGGGATGGGATTATGATGGGGATCTTTACTGTATATACAGAGAGATGGGGTTATGATGGGGAGCTTTACTGTAAATACTGGGGGGATGGGGTTATGATGGGGAGCGCTACTGTAAATTCAGGGAGATGGGAGTGCGTGGGGAGCTCTACTGTAAACACTGGGGGAAGATCGGGGGGATTTACTCCCTCGGGTCTGGCTAGGCCCAGGCATCGCACTCCACCTCCACGTCCTAGATATGAGATGGCAGAGCTCCCATGTCTCTTGCAGGCAGGCAAGAGGGAGGCAAGGGGGAGGCCCTGCGGTCGGCTCTGAAGTAGCTGAGTGCAAGGACGAGCAGCAGCGGGCGGCCACACTGTCCCGAGGGTGGGTGAGGCCGGATGCAGCTCCTGGGAAAGACCTAGAGATGACAGCACCTGACCAGGGAAGGGGCGGTGACCAGGGAAGGGGGTCGTGACCAGGGAAGGGGTCGTGACCAGGGAAGGGGTCGTGACTAGGGAAGGGGTCCTGAC